TTTGGAGGGTGGGGAGGTGGGGACTGGTGGTGGGCAGGGGGTGTGGGTTGCAGGGGTGGGGGTTTTGTGAAGTGTCTTGTTTTGCAGCGGGTGGAGGTGAGCTGGTGGCTCGTGGTTGTTGGGCGCAGAGGAAAAGGAGCGGGAGATGTGCCTTGCAAGTTGGGAGTTGCGCATTGGTGTAGCTGACCTGGTCAGTTGTGTGGATTGCAGTAGAATGGTGAGTATCATTTCTGTGGTGGTCATGGGTGGGGCTTGGAGTGTTGGGAGGTGGGGAGTGCGGGTGGGTGGGTGTGTGGGGGGTGTGGATTGGAGGGGTGTGGGTTTTGTGAAAGTGGCTTGTTTTGGAGCAGGTGCCGGTGAGTTGCTGCATGTTGGTTGTTGGGGCGCAGAGGAAGAGGACCGGTATGTGGAGCTTGGAGCTTGACAAGTTGCTGTCCTAGGGGCAGAGAAGGACGTGCTGTGTGGTGGTGTGGAAGCAAGGTCTGGTTTTGAGAGGTGGGGGTTGTTGGGGCTGGCTGGTTGGTGGCTGGTGGTTGTGATGTTGAGGTTAGGGCTTTGGTTTGGGTGGGTGTTTGTGATTCCATGTGTTTGGAGGGCACTGGGCATAGCTTTCCAGGGTTGTGTGGCATTGTTTAGGGGGGCTGTAGGGGTGTGTGTGTGTGTGTGTGTGTGTGTGTGGTGTAGTGGGGTGTGGGGCTTTGAGATTGTTGTGTGTTGCCTGTAGGGGAGGGGGTTAAGAGTGTTGCCAATTTGGCTTGTGGATGCTGCTGAGGTTTTTTTTGGTTCTGGGAGGTCTGTGTTTTGCCTTCTGGTTGCGTTTTGTCTTTGTGTTGGGTGGTGGAGGGGACACGGGTGTTGGTGGTGTGGTGCGTGTTGTAGGCGTTGGCTGCGGGTGCAGCGGTGCCTGTGTGCTGCCTCCCAGAATTGAAACCAAGCCTTTTATGTGGGATGATTCCTTTTCTTTTTGGACAGTGTAGTGTGAAAGGGTGTGTGGGGTTGCAGTAGTTTGTGTGTGCTTGTGTTGGGTGTTGTGGGGAGGGAGGCTTGGTGTTAAGGAGAGGGGGGGGTATAGTTTGGTGGGGTGTGGGTGGACTTGGGAGGTGTGGATGTTTTTTGGGGTGATGGTTTTGTTTGTGTCTGGTTGGGGGGTGCGGGGGATGTAATGTGTCTATTGTGTTGGAGCATGTGTCAGTTTGGTAAGGAGGTGATGGTTGCCATCTGCGTTTGGAGGTATGTTGTGAGGTTGTAGAATATGTAAGGGGTGCCTTTTGTGTTGCATGGTGGCTGGTGGTGAGTGTGGTGTGCTGGGGGTTGGGTGTATGGAGTTGGATGTTAGAGACTGCTTTGGGGTGGTGTTTGTATTTTGAATGGCGTGTGGGTTGTGTGCTGGGTGTGGTTTTGTTTGTGTGGGTTGTTTGGATGGTTGGTGTCGTGTGTGGCGTGGTGGTGTGGGGTGGTTGTGTGAATGGGGTGTGGGAGGCGGGGTTGTTGCCGTGCTGTTTGCAAGGGGGGTGTACGGGAAGGGAGGTTAGGTTACTGGATGGGGTGTGAGGTGCAGGTGGTGGAGTGAGGGTTCAAAGTGATTGTTTGAGTGATCAGGTGTGGGTGTGGTTGGAGGGTGTGGTGGTGTGCAGGGGTGGGGGTTTTGTCAAGTGTCTTGTTTTGTAGGCAGTGGAGGTGAGTTGCTTGCTGCTGCTTGCTGGGCAGAGCGGAAGAGGAGTGGGAGATGTGGCGTGAAGGTTGTTGGCTGTGCATTGGAGTAGCTGAGCTGGTCGGTTGTGGGGATTTCCGTGGACTGGTGAGTATGGTTTTTGTGGTGGCCGTGGGTGGGGTTTGTAGTGTTGGGAGGTGGAGAGTGGGGGTGGGTGTGGATAGCTAGGGTGGCAGTTGGCTAAAAGTGTCCTGCTTTGTAGGAGGCGGAGGTGAGTTCCTGCATGCTGGGTGTTGGGGCACCGAGGAAGAGGCGTCGCAGATGTGGCTCGCAGGTTGGCCAGTGGATGTCGTAGGGGCTGAGAAGGAGATGGTGTCTGGTGGTGTGGAAGCAAGGTATGGTTTGGAGAGGTGGGGGCTGTTGGGCCTGGGCAGTTGGTGGATGGTGGGTGTGATGTTGAGGTTGTGGTGTTGTTTTGGCTGGTACTTTGTGGTTGCATGTATTTGGAGTGCAGTGGGCATGGCTTTCAAGGTTTGATGTGTTGGATTGTTTGGGGGGGCTGTAGGGGTGTCTGTGTGTGTGGGGTGGGGTGTGGGACTTTGGTCAGTTTGTTGTGTGTTGAGGCTAGGGGAGGCAGTTTACCATTTTGCCTGTTTGGCTGGTTGGTGCTGCGGAGGCTTGTTTTTGGTTCTGGGAGCTGTGTCTTTTGTGTTGTGTTTGTGTGTTGTCTTTGTTTTTGGTGGTGGAGGGGACACGGGTGCTGGTGGTGTGCTGTGTCTTGTAGGCTTTTGCTGGAGGTGCAGTAGTGCCTGTGTCCTGCTTTGCAGAATTGAAACCAAGCCTCTTATGCAGCGTGATGAATTTGCTTTTTTGACAGTGTTGTGGAAAAGGGTGGTTTGGGTTGCAGTACGTCGTGGGTGGTTGCCTTGGGTGTTGTGCGGATGGTGTTGTGTTGTTTAGGGGTTGGGGATGGCTGTAGTTGGGTGGGTTGTGGGTGGAGTTGGGAGGGGTGGATGTTTGTTAGGGTGATTGTTGTGTTTAGTTCTGGGTTGGGGGGGGGTTGTAATGTGTCTCTTGTGTCGCAGGCTGTGCCAGTTCGGTGAGGAGGCGATGGGTGCCATGTGCGCTTGGAGCGGTCCTGTGAGATTGTTGAATAGGTAAGTTGTGCTTTTTATGTTGGCTGGTGGGTGTGGAGGGTGCTGTGGTGGTGAGTGTGGTGTGGTGGCTGTGAGTGGTGCGTATGCAGTTGGATGTTAGAGAGTGGTTGTGTCAGGTATCTGTATTCTGACTGGAGTGTGCATTGTGGGGTGGGAGTGTTTTGATCTGTGTGGGTTGTTGTGAGAGTTAGCAAAGTGTGTGGTGTGGTGCTGTTGTTGGAATGCGGTGTTGGGGGGGTTGGTTGTCGTGCTTTTTGCAAGGGGGGCATAGAGAAAGGGAGGTTAGGTTGGTGGGTGCAGTGTGAGGGGCAGGTGGTTGGGTGAGGGTTCCAGGTATTGTTTGTGTGACGGATGTGATGTGGTGTGGGTGTGGTTGGAGGGTGCGGTGCGGGTGTTTTCTGAGCGGCGTGGTTTTGTAGGAGGTGGAGATGAGTTGCTGTGTGCTGGTTGTTGGGGCTGGGGGCAGAGTGCCACATGTGGCTGGCGGTTTGTCAGTTGGGCGTTGGAGTAGCTGAGGCAGCGCCTTGTGTGGATGCCAGAACGTGGAGTGTGATGGTTGTGGTGGGCATGGGTGGGGTTTGGAGGTGGAGAGTGGTGATAGGTGGGGGATGTGGGTTGTATAGGTGGGTGGGTGGGTGTTTGGGGGGGTGGTTTGGTAGGGTTTTGGGGTGTCCCTGTGGTATGTGCTTGTAGTGTAGGCTGTTTGGCTGTGGGTGGAGTGTAGGTGTGTGGCTGTGGGGCACGGTGAGTTGCTTGAGATGGTGGTGCTGTGCTTGTTGGTGTCTTTGGTGTAATGTTTGCGGTTTGATTGAGGTGGGGTGGGTGTTGAGGGTGCTTTTTGGGACGGAAGACATTTTGGGTTGCTGACTGCTGGCTTTGATGATTTGCAGGTGGCTGCTGGAAGAGGAGCAGATGTCTTGCTGCGACACTTTGGTGTGCAATAAAATTTTTGCAGGCTACTTGTGTGTGTGGTGGAGGGGAGCTGCATGTGGGTGTTTTGGTGCGGGTGTGGTGTTTGTGTTTCGCGGTGTTGGCTTTTGTGTGTTGTGTGTCGATGCTGTGTGTGTTGTTTGAGGTGGGGTGGGTGTTGAGGGTGCTGCAGAGGGGGTGTGGGCTGGGGTGATGTTTGTGTTGTTTTGCTTGTGGTAGTGCAGCAGCAGCAGTAGTTGGGAAAAGGCGTGGCTTTCCTGCCCTCCCCCGCTAGGGGGGCGTTTTGTTGGTGCCCCCCTAGGGGGATGTGGAGGACAGGAAAGCCACGCTGCCTGCTGAGG